CATGTATCACACATGACACTTGATGTATGCTGACATGCGTGCTTGGGTCGACCAGGGCTCCCAATACTTGAACAAAACAGTCTTTTGTCATAGATCCTGCCACCGGATCGACCCGGGCACCGCCGGATACCCTATCTAATATATAATATACATGAATATACATGTATGTATATATTGTGATTGAGTTAATTTTACTCTCCCCCCTCTAGTGAATAATGTTGAAGGGCCAAGACTCGAACACCGTTCCCAAACAGACGTCACAAGTGCAGAACACAGGCCCTATAGGCCTGGGATAGGCCCACGGTGTCGGAGGCCCAGGATAGGCCTCCGACACCACCAGACATACACAGTATCTCAATAATGGAACTAATTGCCCAAGTCTGGAAGTTCTTTTGCAATGCTCAAGAACACTTTCACCCTTCTACTGATTTCTATTCCTCCTTGCTTCCGCTGGTGTGGGCTGCTTTACACGTCTGCAGATCAAGGCGAGAAAAAAAGCAAAGACATTGTACTTTTTTTCATGTTCACTCGCTTATGGCTTGGCAAAGCTGCTGTAAAGTAGAGGCGTGTCAGGTGGTGAGAGCGTGCAGCTATGCGTGTCAATAGTTTGTCACTGGTATGTGTGTGTCAGTCAGCCTTGTTTATGTAGATGTTAGCGGGTGTTGAGTTTCAGCTCCTCGGTCATCCTCTTAACTTTCAGCTCCTCTGTCATCCTCTTAACTTTCAATCGACTGATGCTGTTAAGTTCTATCAAACTGACTTTTGAGAATAGGGGTAAGTGCCCACCGTCTTTTCCCTGGACTTCTTCCATGTCTCCTCCACTATCAAACATTCACTGCAAGTCCATTACATGTCCATTTGGGTGTTCAGTCTCCTTCTGCGTGCCCTGCAACAGCTCCTTCTCCCGTTAAAACATCTGTTATACTCAAACAATACCACAAAGAACTGTAAGTTGAGACCATATCTCGCCTTGATGTACGCTCCTTCGTGTCAAGAGGTCTACCGCGTAAATTCCTTCCTCGTAGCTCCCGCCCTTCAGCTCTTCTACCAGTCTGGTGTCAAAATTCCATACATTCCCGTGCGAGCTTCTCAGTCTTCTTGTTCTTCAACCGAGATCCGTGTTTTTCCAACAGGATGCTCGGAAACTTGTCTCGCATGTATGGCGTATAACATAATGAAGGCTTCTTATTCAAACTCCTGTGGGAGGTCGTTGCCTTTACCAAACTTGCATACGACATTGATGTTAGCCGATGTAGTGTGTGATAGATGAGGTAATAGATTCTACATCTGATCTATTTCTGCACCTGACAACTGAAGCTTTTTCCCTAAAGATATGTTGTCTCCAGCAACATTTCTTGGAACACAGGTTTCATTACATTGCACTTACTATGAACACTAATAGCCACTTTTTGTAGTATTGCTGCTGTCTGACAAAATAGTCTTACATTTTCTATCACAAGTCCTCTAAATTACAGGGTAGTTAATATGTATCACGAACAGTTAAGACCTAGTACTGCCCCTTGCGGGACTCCGCTTGTTACACTTGCCTAATTTATCATAAGAATGTGGTCGCGGGCGGTGACGAACCATACACGTTTTTTGTGATGATAAGCCAGCCACGGCACCATTCCCTTGACCTTAATTTATAGGAAATTGTTTGGTCAGAGATCACAGGTCAATACCTATAGATATTGCAACGCTAGTTTATACACGCATGTACTTTGTCGGTGGTCGAACAAACGTTTGTTCGTGTGGCCAGGTTGGTGTTCGTAATGCCATGGTCGAACACTGTCCGTGAGTGATCCTGGTTGATGGTGGCAAATTACAGTTTCTGAGAGGAGACTGGTGCCTCATTGACTGTTACAGGTGTTGTTTGTACTATCCATAGGCATTGTTGAGAGAGTTCAGGTGTTGGGTCTTAGGTTATAGTGCGCTGTTAGATTACACGTCAGGTGATGTTAGTTTAATGCAGCTGATGTGGATATTCACAGGGGATTTTGCATTAACTGCAGGTGATGGTGGTACTGAGCTTTGGAGGTGGTGTGAGGGTAGCGATGGTGAGGGTGATGGTGAGAGTGGTAGGGGGGTGGATGGGTGTGGCAGTATTGCACGTAAGAGTGTTTCCTGCTGGCCCTCGAATGCCTTGCTTGTAATACTGTTGAGCAAGAGAGAACTTATTAAATCTAGTCTGGTGTTACACCCAAGTGGCCTCAGAGAACACCGCGGTGTTCGGGACACAGAAGAAGAATTTAATAAAATAAATAAACTGTAAAAATAACCTTGTTACTCTAGTTCTGAAGTACAGAAGACGAAGCCCTCCGGTGTAGGGTACAGGTATAGGGTACAGACGTAGGATACATGCGTAGAATACATGCGTACGGTACAGCTGAGAATCTCCAAGCGTCAGAGATTCACAAACGAGGGTCTTTCATTGTGCAGCCAGTACTCGTAAACAAAGGCCAAAGTCCATTCCATGCACCCGCCAACCCCCCGTTTATGAATGAAAAACGATTTACACACGATTAACAACTGATGACGTCCGAACACTTCCGGAAAAAGGGCTTCGCTGTCGACTTTTGTTCGAACCCCAACGCTGTAAATGCTTCACCCACGTACCACAAATACAAATAATCGCCTAAACACCTAACCTAACTTATGCCAAAATATGCACAGTATGCTAATATATAACTATATTATTTTATATTTGGGAACATTCCTATTCCATTCACCCGGGATGTAGGAGTCTCGAACCATGGGCCTTTTATGCATCTCCTCCCTATCATCCTTCTTACATCGCGGGCAATGCCACCTCCAACCAGGAGGCCTGACCATAGACCGGGCCGCGGGGAAATGATCCTCGGAACAGTCAGCAGGTAGACAACAAAGGGTGCAGCACATCTACATGTGAGGGGGGGGGGCATATCATGGTTGTGTTGTGTGTGTAACACTTGGTGCTTTAGCCTAAACCCACACCTTCACACCTTACGGGCTCACCATAGCCCGTGCTACTTGGAACGTGTTCCGAGTAGCTGAATCTATAACTATACCAATCATCTCCACACCACCTCTGCCCACAACCAGAATGTTGAGTATTGGTTGTGTGTGAATTGGCATGCAATTGTTGTAAAGTCAATTACAAGGAGTTGGAAAAATCCAGAAGCTGTTCTTCACACTTCCCTTCTCCCTCTTCCCTCTCTCGCTCTCTTCTCTCACTCTCTTCTCTCACTCTCTTCCCTCACTCTCTTCCCTCACTCTCTTCCCTCACTCTCTTCCCTCACTCTCTTCCCTCACTCTCCCACATATAACAGGTGGCACTCCCTTGGCCGTTATCATCAATAACTCCTGCGTTGGCTGGCGTGAACGTGTGACCGTCCTAGATCAGAACTCTTCAAGCATTTACGCAATTACTTACGAAACCTGTGCATCTTTTCTCAGTTATAACGGCGTAAACAATGTGAGTTCCGGAAGGCTACGAGGTTGTTTACAACAATAATAATCTTGGATAGTGAAGCTTATAAACTATTTAATAATTGAAAATAAAGCCTCAGTGATTATACATGTACAGGTTTTGTAAATGGTTGCGTAAATATCTTGAAGAGTCCTGGCCCCTATTATCTGGGTCTCCATGCCTAAGCACGCTCGCAGGCTTTGCCTTGAATTGGGGAAAAATGATGTTTAGAGTCATACCATTAATTGTCGTTGCGTAGGAGGCAGCGTCTCGTTGTTCGTACGTCCAGGAAAGTCATCGCCAGATGGGTATAGCTGGCCACGAACTAGCTTACTGAACAACCTCCAGGATTACGCACTAGAGATTAGACTAGAGTCGAGCATAGGAACACTCAGCGCATGGATTCGAACCCCCCATCAAGGCTACTGTTGGATTTGTCCAGGATTACGTTAGGTGTCGTGTCTGTGCCAAACATGCAACACACATCACACAAACTTCACACTCAAACACTCACAATACACTGACCAAACACTCACAATACACTGACCAAACCACAACACACAATACAATGACCAAACGCTCACAATACACTGACCAAACGCTCACAATACACTGACCAAACCCTCACAATACACTGACCAAACGCTCACAATACACTGACCAAACCACAACACAAACGCTCACAATACACAAGGGAATTAATGTCACCAGTAATTTGTATCCTATAGTTGCCGGCTACATTAACTCCTCCACGTGGAGAAGTTAATGCTGGTTCTCAGTACCGACAACAGTAATTTTCCCATCTTGAGTCACTGTTATATTGCACCGGTGAATTTTACATACAAATTTATTGATTATTACACCCAGCAATCATAGGTAAAATACCCTCACTTAGGTCATTGGGTGTCATTTACCTATTTGTCGCCTGTCATCATATTAGCTATTAAATAATCTTTACACTAACCATTTGCTACAATTAATTTTGTTAATGTTCCTGTTTAGTGTTCGTAAGATTGTACTTAATTCATTTGCGTAATTCAGACGGTAATATGCGGGTATTGAGCTATATTGATCATGGATTAAGTTTATTTGCCACACTGTCACAATCAGAATCATTAAACAAGGAATATGTATTCCGCAAGGTGTATTGATCTTCTCAGAGTCCATGGACTAAAGTATAATTCGTTTTGTCGGACAGAAAACTGTGTGTGTGTGTGTGTGTGTGTGTGTGTGTGTGTGTGTGTGTGGGCGTGTATGGATAGTAGGTAAGGCGTTTCATTAATAAGTTTACTTAATGAATAAAGGCTTATAAACTTGTATTAATGTGATAACTTTTCCTTATAAAGTATACCTAATGAGAAAACACTTCTATACCAACTTATTGTGCCTCACTAAATTTACTCGAAACTAAAATTATAAAGTTTCTAGTTGACAAAAAGAGCTTCACAATTAACCCAATCATTCTGAATAATCTCTGCGGCGTTTTGAAAGTTCACCTTGTGTGTGCAGACGGTGTGACTGACTGCCCTTGTGTGTGTTGTTCTTCCCGCAGACCTGACGGGGACGCAGAAGGTGAAGAGGGTCCTGATTAACATCTCCAAGGTGGTCCTCGTCCTGGGCTTCCTCTACCTCTTCATCTGCTCCCTCGACTTCCTCTCTTCATCCTTCAGACTCATCGCTGGCAAGACTACAGGTAGGCCCTCCGAACTATTTTATTTTCCAGATGTTTTATACATTATATGTATAATATTCCGTGTAATAATTGTTTTTGCTGTAGGCTTTGGATCCGATTCGCTTGAGTGGAATAGGTAGAGACAAACTGGTTTTTCTCCACTTAGTAATGTTTGAGCAGAGCAGCGGGAGTACTAGAGCCAGACGAAGGAGCGTTTTGAACTGTGGACTTGAGATCGGAATATATAAATTACATGTCATTGTTCACTGTAGGTTAATTTCACACACACCAAAAAATCATGCATAGCGAGTTTTTCTCGCGTTTCTTTCGCCCCTCGTCAAAAGTGCAAAGATTTCTTGAGATCTCAACGTCGACCTTAATAAAATAAGTTTACTGAGTTAATAATAGTTCCTAAAAATGGATAGAGTAGCCTTGGCCATTTCTGCCTTCCAACAGTCTCAATGTATCACAACAATATAAACATTTGCACTCGAGGCAGGGATCAATGTTTTGACGGTCGGCCAACACCACCTCGAGTGCACAAACTAGTTTTTCTGGAGTTTTACAGCCGTCGGTATGAGACAAGGTTGAACCTTCTCCTTTAGAGAAACATTGTTTGTAAGTGATCTCCTGAAGAACTTTCAACACTGGCTTACGGTATCTATATAGTGCAGCGGTCACGGGTCTCTGAAATATATATTCCTGCTGTCACTAATATCTCCCGTAACTGGGCGATACTGATGATACAGATTTTAAAACACGTGTTTAGTAGTGTTAATCCAAATTACACGTCAATAATTGACCAGACCACACACTAGAAGGTGAAGGGACGACGACGTTTCGGTCCGTCCTGGACCATTCTCAAGTCGATTGTGATCAATTGTGATCCATTCACAATCGACTTGAGAATGGTCCAGGACGGACCGAAACGTCGTCGTCCTTTCACCTTCTAGTGTGTGGTCTGGTCAACTTACTTTAGCCACGTTATTGTGACTCATCGCCTGCACGTCAATAATAACAAGGGATATGTATATCTATATGTACCAAGAGGTGTACTCCACTTCATGATGTATATGTACTGAGCGTATACATAGTCCAGGACTAGAGTATACGTGCTGCTTGTGCAATTTAATGTGTTAATATTTTGTTTAATTTCTCAGTAGCCACTGTTTGAAATTTACCTAAATTTAGCGTAAAGATATATCTATCAAACTTGTCGAAAACGTTCTTGGTTACAACGCTTCAAACTGTTGTTAGAGCCACTTATTGAGACGCTGTGGCACAGTCCTGTGTTGAGTCAGTAGCCCTCGGCTGGGCTCGGTGGTGATTATGAGGTAATCAACATGTTTCATCGGTTGTTAAGGTGTGGCACACATGAGCCGGCGCGAATTGGTCGTGTTGAATTGTAGTTCTTGCTGTCGGGAACTGTGGTGACCTGCCTCTGACCAGCGTCATCAGAGTGAATGTCAGGAAGAAACGTTCTTTGCTGTTGCTGCTGTGGCTGCTGCTACTGCTGCTGTGGCTGCTGTAGCTGCTGCTTCTGCTGTAGCTGCTACTGTTGTTGCTGCTGCTGCTGTTGAAGCCTATAACCTACGGCTAGGAGGTCTGCTAGTTTTTAGGCCTAAATGGTTGCTGACTTCATGAGTTTACTTCTTTATATGTAAACATATTTGGCATTTAATGGTGTCATTTTTCAGTTACAAAAAAAAAACACACAAACACGGTGTATAGTGATGCCCATTAAGAGCCTCACCATTAGATTTTGCTTATGGTTGAGCCGTCACCATAAATGTTAATACTAGCGCGAAGTAGCACCTCGGTCGAGCGCCAGAAATCTCGTTTGAGTAAAAGTTAAGGTTGCCAGGAGGTCGTCACAGTGAGGACGCCAGGCCAGGGTGAGAGGGAGGTGGGTCACTGTTTATCTGGTGACCTGAGTCATCTCCAGCTGGCTCAATATCTTCTTGAGGTTATCTTGAGATGATTTAGGGGCTTTTTAGTGTCCCCGTGGCCCGGTCCTCGACCAGGCCTCCACCCCCAGGAAGCAGCCCGTGACAGCTGACTAACACCCAGGTACCTATTTTACTGCTAGGTAACAGGGGCATAGGGTGAATGCCCTATGCCCACATGAACACATTTCCCACATTAAAGGTTTCTAACAAATATTACCTCTCGATAGAACACGAAACTGTGGATTGAAATGGGTAGAGTTTGCAAGAAAAAACTAGATAAATGTAGTTTCATTTTTTTAATAAAATGTGGAATAAGTTTTAAGGACTGTATAGCAGTATATTACCTGGAAATATAAAAGTATTGACCGGAGATATACAGGAGTGAAAATGGTTGTGTATAAACAGGACCTACAGCAGGTCCTGGTAGGTCTTGTTTTACCTGTGAGGTAAACAGGACCAGCCTCAGCGATATTCCAAGTTAGAGGGCAAGCAGCTCAAGAGACCATTAGAGTTTTAGACTGATTGTTTTATTTCTCTACAAATGCAAAATGCATGATAACCTCTGGCACAATAGAACATCTAACTTTGAGTGTAAGTAGATCAAGGCCAATTTATGGAGTGTCTCGTTCAGTTAGTTTACCGGCTACATCTTGCTAACTTTCAACAACCCGTCCTCCTAATAGAACGTCGTATTTTGACGTATATTTTACAAAAGACAAAAAAAATCGCCATACTAGAAAATGGTAGCGCCTCGCAAAATTGACATACTGTCCCCTTTTCTATTTGTGGTCCTCTGGTAGGTTAGCATAGGGCCCTTTAGTGCGACAGTTTATTGACGTTAGCAAACCTCAGGAGAGCAGGCTGGCTTGAAATATGTCAGGTCAGGTGACAACTGGCTTGGCTTGACCTTTCCCAAGGGTCGCCTAGGTGACCTCACAGCTCGAACAGCTGAACACATGCAGTCAAAGTCTTGGGCAAACACCCGATTCATTGCAAATGGGTATTCACACACACGTACATACCAGATGGTTGTTGGATGAAAATAATAATAATAAATGTTTATTCAGGTAAGGTACATACATACAAGAGATTTTACAAAAATTGATAGATTTATAGATATATAGAAAGGCAGGGCCAAGGAGACGGAGCTCGATTCTTGCAAGTACGTGAATATTCACACACACACACACACACACACACACACACACACACACACACACACACACACACACACACACACACACACACACACACACACACACACAGTAAGCAATCTCTCTCCCTCCCTCCCTCCACACCTACAAACTCTGCCCCAACTGGTACCACTGCAAATAACACCCCAGTCACCACCCTAACTACTAATACAACTACTGCCACTCCTACCACACTACAATTACCACCCCCTACTAATACCTCTACCACCCCCACTACCGTCACCAATCCCCACTACTACCACCTCCATAACCACACCTACTACCACCACCACTACCTCCTCCACTACCCCACCACCACCACCACTGCAGCGTGCCCAGTATATCAATACTGACCGCCCAAAAAAGAAGTTGTGACGAGGGAGAAGGTTGTTGTGGCCCACCACGTGCAGAGTGGTGAAGTGTTTGTTTCAACCACAAAGTGTAAATGCCTGCCGCTGAGGCTACTAAAATTAGAGGGCTATATGCATTGTAGCATATAGCACTTGATCTATATAATTTTGGCTGTAGCGGACAGGTGCGTATCAATACCTCGTTATATTGATAGACTTCCTATTGATTGATTGATTGATGAAGATTAAGCCATCCCAAGAGGTGGCACGGGCATGAATAGCCCGTAAGAAGATTTTTTTGAGTGAATGTGACCTTTGGTCGTGAAAGGATATACTGTGAGCTGAGCACGCATGTAACTCGTCAGTCCTTACCGGGTGGCTGTGGGGGAGGATACTGCTTCGACTCCCTACTTCCTCGTGACTCCATAACTACGGTACTGTGGGACACTTCATTGTTTTTCCCCTATCTTCATGACCCAACACCCAACCATTCATTTGACATCACTCTTTTTAAAGCACATTCCTCAATCTCCCTTTCCGTTTCCCTCACCTGTCACCACTCTCTTCCCTCTCATCAATACCCTCCCTCTCCCTATTCATCACTTCCCTTCCATTCCCTATGGTTAGCATTGTATATGTGTGGCCACGTCTGTGGTAGAAAATAATATAAATATATAATATATATATATAAATCCCTATGGACAACACTAGTTTTGCTTTGCATGTTGAGACCGAATTACTGAGTGACTTGTCATGGCACTTGAGGGTACGGGGTAGGAAGAGCCCGGGCAACATACTGTGGACACAGGCAGCCGACACGGAAGATAAGAACACGTGGCAATAAGATAACATACATACCAGTAACAGGGATAACGGGAGATGCCAAGGATGGTGAGTAACTGTTAGGCGAGAGGTAGAGTGAATAGGGCGGATAGGCGAGAGGTAGAGGATAGCGTCCTTATCCCCATTCACCTCAGGAGCGATGCCGGCCCAGGTTCGAGCCATGGGAAAGGTGGGACGATTACGTACTTTTCTTGAACTGTTCGCACAGGCTCACCCAGCAGTAATTTGTAACCTGGTTGTAAATTGATTGCCGGATCGTGTTCCTGGAGAAACTAGTAGGGGTAGTCCTGGGAGGAGGCCTGGTCGACGACCGGGCCGCGGGGACGCTAAGCCCCGGAAGCACCTCAAGGTAACCTCAAGGTAGTCAGATAAGAAGTCAGACGTCATCTGCTCCTACTGTCCTCCTGTATATAAATAATAAGGCTTGAAAAATAGATGGTAAATGGGAAACGAGACTGGAAGAGTAGAACGGATGGAATGTAAAAGTGGTAGCGATTGGGAATGAAAATAGAATTGAACATATTCATAAAAATACATGATACATGTGTATATATTTCAACTAATTATTCTGCCGGACCGTGTGGTGTCTGGCTTATGTTTCTCTTTTGCTAATGATTCCTTATCAAATCCCGTAATTTAACATCTCAAGAAATCACTGATTAAATCTTAGTATCCAGCTAACGAAT